ATGGCTCCAGCAAAAGCTGAGCCTTTAAGTAATAGCTTGCAGGACCTCAGGAGCTTATGTCATTGTCAAACACAGCCTACGACCACATGCTTCAGGCTCAGGGTTTTGGGTTAAACATTTGACTGTTAACATTGCTGTGTGGCAGGGCGGATTTTGCATAAACTCCTGCGCAAGCCTCGGAATTGCCATGACTAGTCTTTGTCACACCTGTCGTGGCGATATTTGAGCTCCGCTTGTGGAGCTGTTAGCCGGATGGCTCCAGCAAAAGCTGAGCCTTTAATAGCTTGCAGGACCTGAGGAGTTTATGTCACTGTCAATGTTAACCTACGACCGCATGGTTCGGGGTCAGGGTTTTGGGTTAAACATTTGACTGTTAACGTTGCTGTGTGGCACGGCATAAGCTCCTCTGCAAGCCTCGTTTTGACTGTTGACTGCTTTGGCCTTGCCAAGTGGACCAAAAAGTGTGTCACGGTCTCACGGCTTGTCGTTCTTCTTGGAGACTCCACTGTGCAGCCTCTTTGTTGCTGCTGTCCACTCTGAGGCTGGAATCGATGGGATCAAGTGGAGCTGGCCCGCGTCTCATTAATCGATTGCGGTGGTGTGCCCTGAGATTTATTTACGTACTTTGCTGCTCAGGTGATCGTTGTGCAGCAGAGCCTCTTCCGCATTGCTAGTCGCATTCTCAGCTTTCAAGTAAGGGCTTAAAGTTGACGGTGCAGGATCTCTAGGGTGGATGGTTTAGTGTTTGTAAGTACTCAAGGATTAAGACAAGTGAGACCCCAAACTCCCAGAGAACACTGGAAGCTCTTAAGTCTTATTTCCAGAACAATACAAGAAGAGAAGTCCCAAATCCCAAACCAACAGTTCACTATACGTTATATTCAATCCAGAAGCCCCTCTACAGCCCTTTAAACGGAACCTTAGTTGAATTATGACGGACACTAACTCTAAATCCTGAGCCCAAAACCCTAAAATCCCCAAAACCCTAAAACCCTGCTTGCCCATAGATCCCTTTAAAGGAACCCTAGAATAATAAAAAAGGAACTCTTAATATAACAGCCTGCATGAGCTCCGAAGCCTTCCGAGGTGGAACACATCAGCATCCCTAGGCTTCTTTTGCACCCTGCCGGCGGGATTTGAGGAAGAGTTTTGTACTGGCGCACTCGCAGGTCACCGTAGGTCCAAACACTTTTCAAGGACCCTACCTTTTACCCCAAACCCGGAAGTTAAAAATCGTAAACCCCTTCAAACCTCTAGGATAAACCCTAAAAGCCCGAACCTTGAGTCTCTAGGACATGAAGCGAGGACGATGTGGGAAAGGGGGGGGGTCTGCATACCCTAGCTAAGCCTATAGTAGGGTCTGCAAGCCGATGATCCAGAAACCATAAGCCTTAAGATGAACTAACTGATTACCCGTAGATCCCTTTAAATAAAAAAGGAACTATAACAGCCTATATGAACTCCGAAGCCTTCCGAGGTGGAACACATCAGCATCCCTCGTTCGTGTGGGGCCCGGGGGGCCGAAATCAGTGTTTTGGGTTTAAGTTCAGGGTTATAGGGTTTTCAGGATTAAAGGGTTGGCCTCACTTTTGGCTTTAGGGCACCAGTGTCAGGGGTGATCAAACATTGTCACTGTCCATGCTCGCCGCGCTGCCTCTGTCAAGCACCCCTGGGCATTGCATTGCGCCTGATTTTCCACTTTTTGGAAATTCCTTTGTGTAGCTTGCAGCCATGTATCGGACATTCTTCGTTGCGGCCCGCAGTGATTACTCCTTCGTTCCAGGGAAGCATGTCACATTGTCAGCTACTCTGGGAGAGGCCATCACCAGTATGAAGCAGTACGATGCACGCAAGTCCCTGAACTGAGCAGAATCCGGATTTTTGAAAGAAATTACTTAAGCTTTGACCTGCTGAAATGGGGTTCTGGTATTGTGACTGAGGTTGGGCTTCAAGCTTTCGGATTCCGCAGAGCCGCCGAAGTCGGCCTTAGTCCGAAAGCAGAATGTCGACAAGGCGAAGAGCTTGCTGTCCCACAGCACGACCTTTTCGATCCTGGAAGTGGAGTTCGAGAACATGCAGTCCAAGTTCGAGAAGGGCGATCTCTCTGTGGACAGCAAGGCCCCGGGGAAGTTTCGCTGGGTTCTCAATGGCAACGACACCGGTGTCCTTGGGTGACCGCCTATGAACCGTTTTCGTCTTCTTGTTGCTCTTTATATAGTTTCTGATGTTGCTCTTGTCGCTCTTTCGTGTTGCCATCCTTGTTCGGTCCCAGGTCAAGCTTTACACTTTCACTGCATCCTTGACCTGGAAGCTTGATGAGGAAGAGAAAAGCTCGGGTCTTTGGACAGTATACGCTTTCTCGGACCAGAGCTTGCATTCGACTTTCACCTCGTTGGTGTTTGACAATGCCCTCGTCAAGGCCTCGAAGACTTCGGCAAAGGCTGAGAACACTTCCACGTCGTCGTCATTGTCATCAATGACGGCCTTTGTCAGCGACCCGGCCGTCCTGGCGCTCGTTGGGTTCTCATTGAGCAATGGGCAGACCCAATCGTGACCAGGCAATTTTAGAGAAAGACAGCCAGAGAGAGAGAGAGAGAG